GGAAAAGTTAAAGGAAATGGAAGAAAAGAAAAAAAGATGGTGCTGTAAGACGCATAAATTTGGAATAAATTTTGTTTTGGTTTAAGTGAATCGATTTAATGAGTGGATGAGGAAGGAAAAGGAGGAAGGAGGAGGAAGTGGAAGAGGAAGAGGAGGAGGAAAAGGGGAAGGAGGAGGGGTATGATATGAAAAGAGGATGAAAAGTTGCATGGAACTTCAATTTAACCAAAAATGCATCATTTTCTTTCACAGAAATGATAGCTTCTTTGAAGGAAGCATGTGGTTTTATTTTATTTCTTCAATTTTTCAATCCTCTCTCCATCTCTTTTCCTCTTCCTCTTTCTTCTTTTTCTCTCATTTTGGCCCATTGTTTTATTTATTTTTGTTTCTTTTATTTTTTAACTTTTATTTTATTTTTGTAAAATAAGAAAAAATTCAAAGTAAAAAGGAAAAAGAAACGAAAAATTAAAATTGAAATTAGAAATGAATCAAATTTTGTCTCTCATTTTCTTCCTTACTCTCTTTTTATGCCTAACAAAATTATTTTAATTAATTATTAATAAATAATGCTAATCAATCAATACTTACAGCATAAACAATTTGGAAGAATTAAATTGGATGATGTTAACGATGAAAATATTCCGCCATTGTGTCATCGTTTATTTGCTTACCTATGCATACGGTAAAATGAAAAATGTTTATTTAAATTATCAAAAATAATTTTTTTGAATTCAAATTTGATTTGATAAAATTTTTCAAATATTACTTTATTTGATGAAATGAAAAATAAATGAATGAAATGTTGCATGTAGTAATGAATTATCAAATTTGTTAAATTTTTTTTACTTTTTTTTTTTTTTTTTTTGAACAATTGATATCACATATCAAATGATTACAGGCAGTATTCGTCATGAAATTCTTAACAGTGAAAATATTCAATTATGCAAATATTGCAAATTGTTTAAATTAATTTTAATAAAATACCTTGAAAGATTGGATTGCAAATTGAATTAGCTTAATTTGATTGCCTTAATTTTGAATTACTTTAATTTAAAAGGATCGCATTATAAATTTAAATTGCCTTAATGTCAATTTGATTTACAAAGTTACACTGTAAATAAAATTATACCATTTTTAATTAATCCAAGTATTATAGCTCAAGTATTAATTGCGTATGCTTTTAATTATTTCATAAAATTGCATAAAATTACATAAATTATTAATATTTTAGAAATGCATCAGATTAAATTTTTAAAATATTTTAAAGGATTGGAGATGACAAATTTAAAATATTTGAATTTGATTGCGTCATATTAAATTTGTCATAAAACATGCAGCATTTTAATTTCTATAAAATTGCATAAATTATTAATAGTTTAAGTGATTATGATATCATATGTAATTGTAAGAATTTTTAATTTTTATATCAAAAATTTCATTCGTTCGTTTTTTTTTCTTTTATTTATGAATGAAGATTTTCATTTTACCCTTCCCTAATTGTTATCAATCTTTATCAGTATTAATTTCCTTTATCTTTCACCATACTAATATTAATAAGCTCACTTTCATATTCAAATTTTGCATTCTTAATTAGAAGACTTCTTTAACAGAAACTTCTTGAAATATATTTTGTTTACTTTTGACATTTATTTTGAATATTTTTACTTCTAACATTTTAGATTTGCCTATTTTTACTGCTTTTTTTTTTCTATCAATTTTTTCCATTTTTTCGTTTTCTTTTTTGTTTTTCTTTTAATTTTAGTTAATTATTGTAATGTATTAATTACTTTTATGAAAAATTTAATTTCCAGAAATTAAATCCATCAAAAAAAATTTTTCTCTTCGTTGAAAAATTTTTTGATTTTATATAATTTTTTAGCTTCGAATTTCAATTATGTGACTAGTTTTCATTTGAATAATTTTGCATAGATAAACATATTCAAGAGGTTTTTTTTTCTTTTTTAAAGCATTTTTCGAAAATATTCAAATTATTGAATCAGTGATCGATTTACCAAATGAATAATTTATTCAAAATTTTGTTTTTATTAAATCATTCCTTTTCTTAGTTCCATCTATAAAGCATTGCTTAAAACGTCAACATTTTAGCCATAAATTGAAATAGGAAAAATAGTAATAAAATTTTGTTTAAAATGTAAATTATGATATTTCTGATAAGATGAAATGCACCATTTTTTTTTTTTTGACGTTTTTGTTTCGTTTTGTTTTTTTAATGCTTGCATTTCATTTTATCAGTTAAAATTTCAAAATATTTTGAAATAAAAAATTTTCAATTTTATTTTTATTTAAATAAATTGAATGAAAAATTTTCTGTCACATTCACTGTCTCCATATTCAACCGAATAGTTCACTTATTTCTATATCAATTTTTAATGACACTTTTCATATATATATATATATATATATTGAATTAGAAAAAAACAAAAAAAACAAAGGAAATTATCAGTTCATTTTTGCCAGTTAATTTTTTTCCATCAAATTATTTTACAGTATAATTAAATTTGCCGGAAAAAAGGCTTGTTAATTAATTAATTAAAACAATGGTGAATTTCCTAAAATATACACATGAATTGATTAATGAATACGACTAAAATAATTCCTATTGCAAGTGAAAGAAATACAAAAAAATTGTTGCAAAAAAAAGTTTTATCAAAAATTCTTTTCTTTTTTTTTTTTGTCAAAAATCAAAAGGAAAATATAACTTTGATAAATTGCGCATAAAAATAGCGCCAATTTCTTTTTTTTTTGCATTTTCTTCCTTTTCGTTTATTTTTCTCCTTTTTTGCCTTTTTTTTTTTTTAATCGTTTTTCCAAAAAATTTCAAACAAATCCCTTGAGAGAATTTCATTGGAATTATTATACCAAAGAAATGTTAGTTTAAAATTTTTTGACTAACAATCAGTTTCAGAAGCGAAGAATAAAGATGATGATGATGATAACAGTAATAATAATGGTAATAATAATAATAATAATGATAGATATGTTAGCAATGAGAAGAGGGGAAAAAAAATGGGAAAATGATGATTGTTGATGATAATGATAGTGTATAATTGCAAAAGATAAATATGAAAAGAAATGATGAAAAATTTTTCTTGAATAATTTATGGTTTTAAAAACGAAATAACGATAGTAATGTGGATAATAATAATAATGGATGATGATGATATTTATGATAGCAATTATGATAACGAAAAGAAAATATGGATGATAATATGTGGTAGCGCGAGAAATGATAATCGTTGATCATTATCATCATTTCTTTTGCTGCTTTGCATTATCATTATTTTCGTCTTTTTATTTTTTTTTTAAGTGATAATAACATAGTCCTATCTGTTTGATAATTTGACGACAGGTAGTAGCATTTTAATTATTTGATGATAGCTTATTCCTTCACTATACATCAATGGTTTTCTGAAATCAGTAGCATAACAATTTATTATCCATCACAATTCATTGTGATTCAATGTCGCAAGAAATTGTTAAATGTTGACAAATGAAATTTAATTAATAGAAACTGGACAATGAAATTTTAGCAAATTTATGGTGAAGTAATATTTAAAGATAAAAATATCCAATCAAATAAGGTAGAGGAATAAATTAAAATGACGTCATAAAATAAGTTTTTTTTTTTTTTAAAATTCACATAATAGAATGCTTCCGTTTTTTTTTTTTCGTCTAAACATTATTTACTTAAAGTAATAATTTGTGTTTGTACAGTTGAGAAAATTTGATAAATGTAATTTTGATTCTAATTTAAAATTTTATAGTATAAATTGTCTTTTATTTGATAACAACCAAATTTGTTAGTGGTTTGGGCAATAGTTGGTAGGGAGAGAGAAATTTAATTAGAAATCGATAAAAATTAACTTATTCGAATTGCGTAAGATCCATTTGTTTCTTTTCAAAATACATTCCATCTTCATTATTATTATGGAATTTTTTGTTTTTGTTTTTAGATTAGATAAATACAAATAATTTGAAACTTGAAAATTTGAAATTAAATTATTTTTATTCGTATAGTAGTCAGTAAAATTAATGATCCCTTGTTTTTTTTTTTTCAACTTTTTTGATTTCTTTTTTTCTTGTTCTGAAATGAAAAATTCTTTTAAAAAAAAATAAAAAACGAAGAAATTGGAGAGAAATTGAAAAAATTGTGCTTCGACAAAAAAAAAAAAGGAAAAAAAGTGAAAAAAGAAGAATAAACAGGAGGAAAAAGAAAAAAGACGAAAAAATGAAATGAAATTTGAATATCAAATTTAAGCAAGAATAGTAAATTATATTCAAATTTAAGCAAGAATAGTAAATTATATTAAAAATAATTAAAATGGAACAAATAAAAATGGAACAAAAATAAACTGTCATTTTTTAATTGAACGAAATCAAATTTTCATTTATTTATGAAACAAATAAATTTCAAATAACATCATCTCATTCTTTCAATCATTGATAGCAAATATTTTACAAATAGTTTGTTGACAATGATAACTTTATAAGAATAACGAAGTGAATTTTGATGAAAAAAAAAAAAAAAAACGTACATAAATAATTTTAAGAAAATTTTACAAACGAATCATTGTTATGGAAGTTTTCATTTCATATATTTAAAATATTTCATTTAAAAAAATAAATTTTTGTTTATTAATTATTTTTTAAAA